CGATTCAAAGTTTTACATCGCACATTTTTCAGGGATGTCATATTTTAACTTCAGCTACAAAGTATTTATACTGCTTTTCAGCAATTCCTTCATTCATTTCCGTCCTTTATTCGAGTTAGTGTTTTAGTCATGTGTTGTAATACTATTCATTGCGCGGTTCTTAAATTGCCAGCTTTGAAACTCGGTATGGCAGTATTCCGACATAATATAGGCTCAGACGACGGTTATTTCTCAAAGCCGCTGCGCTGCTGCATGCCAGGTAACATTCCAGACAATGGCTTTAAACGCCGGTGGGACACTTCCTGAGCTCTTGGTCACCATCAGGTATAATAAAACGGTTCCCCCTCTTTCCGTTCAAATAATTTTACCGGGAAATTCCCGAATTACCTAACTTCAAAGATTGATGGAATATTCACCACTTTGAAAAAGCTAGCTATTTTACTATTAAAAAATTATTTTTGCAATGTGCGCCATCAAGCATTCTTTGGTTTGACTTCAGTTTAGTACATCTATAGCTGATTTGATTTTGATTATTCAATATTTGAAATCCATTACTTACTGACGCTCAAAAGTATTTTCAAAGTTAGGTATATTCTGAATTAAGGTCACTATGAAACATTGAGAAAATTCGACATGCTAATTAATTGTACTTGAAGAAACGCGGCAGATTTTTAATGTAAATAGAAATGTGAGTCGTTATATTATGATCCGAAATACTTTCTAATATCATTTTTTTCTCGTTATCTACTGTTTTCACCAAAAACGGTGTGATCAACTTTCATCTGTTATTTAGGTACGAATATCACCTATTACAGTTTATGTATGTAAAATATATAAAAAAATTTTGTGTATAAATCTGGTTCCTTTTAATTATTTATACTTCATTCAAATTCTGAAGAACCGGTCCAAATTGAGCTTAACCTCCATCACTCATCCTGCCGGCTCAGAGACTCAGAGTCCTTTTAATTCTTCTTACTTTGTTTACGTCTTTCCTCTGCGGTTGGGTGAGGTTTACCGCGCTGAAAAATAGGTAGGGTAGGGCAGGCAGGGCAAGTGTATAGTTGGCACAGGTAGAGGAAAGATCGGCTGCCTAGCCTCATGTTAGGCCAGTGTTTCGTGAAGGGTGTTATGGTGCGTACAACGCACTCACTGCACTGATTACGCGGCGCCAGCTCAAGTGTTTACATGACCACTGCAGTATTTATAGTGGATCTTACACTTAGTAAAGTCTATCAATAATATTTCAGAGAGGAATTTGTTATTTTGATAGGTGCCTGTAAATGTTTCTCTTTGAAAAATTTGAAAGGATTATTGATGAACCAATTTCTTGTGAAGATTGCTCGAGGTCTTCCATGAGTTGAAAAATTCATCGAACAATTTAAGTGAATTAGGTACTTGTACTTTCTATTACTTCGTAGCAATCGTAGTAATTTACGTAAAATGAGCCAATTCATCGGTATTGGAATGCTCACTCAAGTAAGCCATACTTGATATCCGAGTAACAGTGATGCGTTCTTTGAACTTCACAATTGACTGCGCAATTGAAACCCGGTTTACCATAGCCTCTGCCTGCCCCTGTGTGGTGTTCGAACCAAGTGAATATATTAACGTTTTTATCCCAAATTCTTTATATTTTGCACCATGTCTGACCTGGACTTATCACTGATGGCTGTGAGCGAAGTAAGTATGACGGTTATAATTCCTCTTCGTAAGATTTTTTGCATTTAGTGTTTTTCAAGGTATATCACTGCTGCTATGCTAAGAATTATCGAGAATCAAGTACAGTCTGTGTTTATTTAACGCATTGAATTTCGTATGTAATAATTCCCTACAGGTTATTCGCCGTTGGATTTTCTGCTTGCCCTATGATTATATTTTTCATACATTATTTCTGGCCTTAAAAATCTTCTGAATACTTCGGAAATTTTTATTAATATTGAAAATGCCTAGAATTTTTGCTCGACATTTTTTAAGGACTGACGATGATATTCCATCGTTCACGTTCACCCCTCCGTCCATGGCTTCTTCCCCCAACGAAGGTCCTAATTCTATACCAGGTCTCTTTGAAAAGACTGTTTCTTATCACTCTAACCCATCTGAACTTCGTTTATATGTACGCGAAGAAACGGGAAACTCGGCTAACGGCGAACTTCTGTCTCCGGTCTTCAAAGAGATATCCCTCATCGAAATGCCATATCCCCCATATAATCCCAAAGACAGTCAATCAGCCATTCCTTTGTTGTATATTCATGATGAAAACGAACCTCACGCAGACCATTTTCCTTCGTCAATATTTTGCAACTCTATAGAAGCTCCACGTGCCATTCCAGCAGCTGGAGAATCTTCACGATCAAGTCCTGAAAACGAAGCCAAGGATGATGACAGAGGAAAAAATAAAATTCCTCTCATGGAACGCAGGAAATCTCCCGAGAATTGCAGTTCCCTAAAAATTTTTCCCTCCCTTGACATAGGTACCAGCTGTTCCGAAAACTCCTATCCACATTACCAGTCGAATTCAAGCCATTCTGAGCCAAGCACTGGCTCTACTCACGAAAATTCCAGCTTCCCATTAAACTTGGATGAAAACCAATCTTTTGCCCATAAGTTTAAGACAAAGATGAAGTTTCATATGCCGTCTCCGAGCTGCAGCGGAATGCTCGGCTCCCTGGAAAGACGCGCCTCGATGCTATCAGTGACAGGATCTCTGAACATCAGTCGTCGGCCATCAATGTCTTCTTTGTTGAGCCTCTCACCAAGCATCCAGTTGGCAGGACGACGCTTCTCTTTCCTGAACCACACTAAAGTGAGATGAGCTTGCCTTGCTCAACTTGTGCGTGCGCGTGACACTAGAGGTGCTAGTGAATTATTTCGCGTTCGAGTGACACTTTTATTGAGGGTGATATGCTTCTAGATAAATTAGATCGATTCTACAGCCACTTCCCTCAACCGCGGACAACATATATTGGTTCTATCCTCTTGTTAACCGTAGCTTATTTCCCTACGTAGCCGACCTCTTTAGTATGAATTTCACAAATACTTCTGGTTTGATGTAGTGTGTAAGAGAGTAGAAAATAGTTCTTAGCTCATATAATAGTTGATGAGTGAGTGTTTTGAATCGCAGATCTCATATCCATATTGTTTTCTCCTTCCGCGTGTAGTACCGGTATTCGGGTATGACGAAACGTACCAGTTTGGTTAGTTAATCAAGTAATTTGTCGATATATATTAAATGTGTATTAGAAATATACTAGCATTGTATGAATTTTCGACCCCTTGAACACAATAGTTACCTACTATCGTACTTTTTTAAGCGCAACTCCAGATGAACCACTGAGAGAAAGTTCTACCACTCTTCACGGTATAACTTGCGCCATATTATAAACGATTTGCATGCGATCAAGCGACAATAAACTGGATTTAGCTTCTCGCTCACTGCCCTGTCTGCATTAATAATTCATCGTCCTCTTGAAGTTTCTCGTGCATATTAATTTCAAAGTTCCTCTCAGACTTATTTATCATTTGTATATGCTTGGATCATGATTTATCCAATTTCATCGCAACGTAGCAAAGTCTTGTATGTGATTCATGTTTAGTGGAGACTTAATTACGCCTGGAAGGAAACATTTGCATATGAGAATTAAATGGGTTTTGGCGACCTAATGTTCATTCTTTTTGCGTAATCTGATGAGCAGGAATTGTCACCATACAATTTTTATCATGTTGAATCGAGAAAACTGCTTTTCGACGTTATTGAATATCTTATGCCCAACTGTAGATGATGTACAGCATCACGTTTTCACATTGTTTTGTCTTTTTAATTAAACGTTGATTTTTTTGAAACTACATGTACTCTATGGAAAAATTACACTAGCGTGGTCAACATCCTATATATTAGCTCAAGTCTGAAAAAGGATTAAGTATTTTTCCATAATGCAATTTTATTGTTGTTCACAGTAAAAATGAAATTCGCTGTTTCAACAATCTAGAGTCTAGACGATAAATTAAATTGATAATAGTCTTGTACATGTACAACTTTGACAAATATTATTTGCTACAGTGTTGGGCTTCTACTAATTTAAATTGTATCCATGCAGAATTTGAGAGAGATCAGACCCTATATATAGGTGTCCGCGGTCGTATGGTGCTAATTGTATCTTTTAAGCCATAACTCTCATGTTATCCGCCAACAAATTGTAATACAATTGATCCCTATATTAACTTTGAAACCGTCGCTCGCCGTAATATAACGGGGAATTACACAGTGTTGACTCGGCTCCCTATAACGATGCACTTGCCTGTTTGTTAGAAGAGTACCTATGCAGGCTTCTGTCTGCCCGTAATACTATTACCGTGTTGATTTTAACTAACGGACAATACCGAATTTTCTCGCATCGCTGTATCTATATTTCGTATTTAATATAAAACAATTTATTCCATCGTTAGCAATTGTTGATTATACAGTATTTGGTGGTGAATTTATTAGATATTCATTCTTTAAATACAGTTACACGTGCTTTTACGTTGAAGTATTCATTTTAGTATTGCGTTAAATTTTGGATAAAAAAATCGACCGCTTCTTAGTTGCAGTAAGTTTTCTACTTGTTTGCTTGGATCTGTTTTTTTTCTTTATCCCATTGATTCTTATTTCCTTTTGAACGATGTGTGTTTCCTGCGTTCCAATTAATGTTAAATTCCGCAAATTTCGTTCTCGTTTTATGTGCCTATAATTTTCTGAAAAACTGCATGTCATTCCTTTGTTTTTGTATTGATAATTCCCAAGAACGATATTGTGATTGGTGCTGAAACTCCTTGTTTCTTTTCAATCTCACAAGTACCTTCTTTGACTTCCCGTTGAAAAGAAAAATTTTCGTTACATTCATTGCCATCACACTAGACACCTTTTTTTGCTCTCGATACCAACAAATAACGCTATACAACGTCAAACTTCCTGGCTAGGTAACTTAGCTCAATTTCTAATGAAGGTTGTTTTTTGTTCACAGTCCGACCAGATGGTGTCGGTGAGCTTCAAGTCTCTGGAGACGTTCATCGAAGACCAGAACTTGAGCGGCCTACAGGGCTACCTGGCCACGCGATCCGTGCTTATCGACGACCGCGATGACAACGGTGCTACAGCCCTCATGGTGGCCGCTGGCCGCGGCCTCCCTGACTTCGTCAGAGAGCTCCTACTGCACGGCGCTGACATCAACGCCGAGGACAATGTGAGTGCCCAGTAGTTTATTTCACCCTAGCTGCTCGGCGCCGACATCCATACCGAACCTGAAAAATGCAAATTGATGTCAGTTCCACATTCACAAGCCATCCATGCTGAGAACAATGAGTGTTAGCTCACTGCGCACTAACTTTTTTGTGACTTGTCTAAAGGTTTATTCCTTTGATTGGAAATCTAAATTTCATAAAGATGAATAAGATCAGTCCTATATTTATAGATTTTTAAATGAATTCATGCATAATTGTGATGGAAATGAATTAAATTTTTGGTCGGCTGCTCCGATAGAGTAAACCCCTCGACCCACTCTAGTGAGGAAAAAATAATTGTTTAACTTCTCGTTCATTTACGACATGAATCCAATTGTCAGATTGTGAATTATGTATTTTAATAAAAATTCAAAATTTAGGATGACACTTTGTTTAACTTCATTTCGAGTGGAACTTGGAGTAATATAAAACTGGTAATCTGGTACTGTCGTTGATTGTATTACGTGAACGTTCAATCCGCGGTTTACTTTAGTACAAAACGAACGGTCTGCACTCTGCAAGCGGTCTTCTAACATTCTTGAAAATTATGCGCTACTTACCAATCATAAGGTGGACCAAAAATTCGTTCGTCTTGTTATGAGACTATGATAACGTTTTCTTTACTCATTTTGCACCTTCATTATCTCAGACAGACGATGGGTCTAACTTCTATGGACCAGTGATAAACAATTATCCGTAATTGATGATTAATATGATCGAAGTTTAGATCGTTAAAACAACATAACGATCAAGTGTTTTCTAGACAACAGACAAATGAATAGTTGTAATTATGTAATCAGTTTTAAAATGTGTCACGAACAAAGCCCGTAAGGAGCGGCTTCGATTTTTTGAAACTTAGTTGAATATTCTACGAATGTAGCAGAAATTGTATGTACTGATAGTCTTCATCCCTGATTTACCAAATTTTGAAGGAAATACTATGTCCCCCTTACATGAATGGAGACGCATGAAGGCCATAGAAAATACTGTTGATGAAGACTAAAGGACTTAGCTAGTATTTTAGACAGCAATTACGTTATCATATAAAATGTATAGAAATTCTGTTGGAGAGCTACGGCAGAACTCAGTCACGCTCGCTTGGTAAGACTGCATGACTCATGAAGACTGACAGGCTTGAAATAAATCAAACGACGTTGTCAGACAAGCGTGTCTCTTCTGAGTCCCGTTCATTACTTCTGTCAAGTCTCATAATTTTTGTTACAAGAAATGCGCCATTTGCGATTCTTCAGCTTATCAAGTTTTTTCCCCATTTTGTGATGATCAGCAGGAACTTTTTTCTTCACGTATTTCAATCATCATACGAATCATTCTATTACACGAACACTCAAGTTTTTTTTCGGAATCTCAGTGCCCTGCTTCCGATAAAATCCGAATAATAATGAAAACAGATTTGAAATTTTTTGACAGAATGAACTCATGAAAACGGATAGTATTTCTGTCTGTCAGTTTCTATTGCAACTTAAACTCCATGTTGATTGTTCTTTACTGCTTTCATATTAGTACGAAATATGTAAATTCATTCGTACTCTCGCCCTCCGTCCAACTCTCTTCTTCTTCTGTATCGAGTATTTTCACGTTGTAAGTAGATAAAGGGCTATTCGAGCGCTTTCCCATTAGCCAATGTTAGTTATTAGAAATGTATTGTGGAATCGAATGTTTTTCAACAGCGTGGGGGCAAATTTCTCACCATACTTATATTGCTTTCCGGATAATTCGACATCCGAGAAACTGAGGCGTCGCTCACTCATTCTCGTCAAGAATATAAGAATACTGTAGGAAACGAATAAATAAGTTATTATTTCTTTCCCTATCTATTGAGTGACGAGTAAAAACGAGACTTAAAATAAATCGCATATTTTCTCTACAGAATAATTCCAGTGCTAAGACGTAATTTATATTTGAGTATTTAACTGCATGGCTTCTGGAGTTGACTGGACTTTAGTGCAGAGTGAGATGCATCTTGAAGGTTCATAGCTCAATATCGACTCTCCGATTCATCTTCTCAAGATACGAAATACAGATAATTCGAGTCGAGTCGTAGGCTGCATTTGTAAGCTGCGAAACTGACAGCCCCGGTGACATTGGTTGGGCTACGCAGCTGCATGTTCGTGTTTAATGCTCCTGTTCGAGAGCTGCATAGCAGCTGCTCAGTAGGTTTTTATCGGCGAGTTCTTCGCTGCCGACAACTTTTTCGCCAAGACGAGAGATGCGATTGAGTGCGAGTCTCCCCTATGTCACTGCATTGTTGCCGGCTTCAGAGGGGAGCGAACTCCGAATGTTATCTCATTTTTTTAGTCAAACTGGCTCCTCGGTCGATCAATGCTCTAGAAGATTGTTTGCTTCCGCTTTATGTTTACTTACAGAAGCGTTATTATATCTTAATTTCAGCGAATTATGCTTCGAGCTATGAGATATTCGTAATTTAATGCAACTTGTCGAAGAGTTCATTACTGTCGAGAGTGTCAGGATACATCTTACCACCAATTAATACATTGAATCGTGAACAATGGATTGGCCTATACGTATATACATATTTTCAGTGTTAGCAATTTTTAAAAATCGCGCACGAATGAGCGAATAATTGTCAAACTTTAAAATTTTAATGCGTTGATGAAAGTCAACCTGCCTTGAAGAATGAACCAATAGTAAAAAGCCCTCTTCAAATGAAGGGCGGTTTTTGTTAATTAAAAACAATGTTTTTTAATCGTTGAAATTATTCTGGAGTGAAATTTTCAAAATAACGCAAATATTATTCCGAAACTATTTGAATCTCCTATTTCAATGCATGTACCTTAATTATTTCTTTCTATTGTAGGTGAAATATATTACATAACTGAAAAAGCTTTAAAACTCCACCCGATGATGTTCTTATTTTGGACAAGGAGTCCAAAATTTTGTAACCTGTAGATATTTGTTGAAAATGTCTATTGAATCATTTTTTAGTTAAAAACATTCCGGTAGAAAAGCCTTCATTTTACACGTTACATTCAAATGCATTCACCTACTATTATATTGGAAGCGGCGTTCCGCTCGCCTGAAGTTAAGAGTTAGTTCGATTCTTCAAACAAATTTTTTGCATCTATCATGCGGTGCAAATGTTCGTACATACCACATATGTAGTTTTAATTTTGATGATTCAATTTTGTAGTTTGTGGAAGCTAGCGTTTGTAAATTTGGACTTAGCTATAGCGTATATTGAGCCCCAACTAGAATTTTAAACTTAGTTATTCATGTTAATATTTTATACGTTTGCCTAAGATAGAATATTTGGAGAACGTTGTTGCGATTCATGTGTGAGTCGGCGTACGTACGTACATTAAGGATTTGACGTACATGGGCGATGTGGAACCTCTACATACCATCTCATGCTTCGTTGCTACCTGCCTACGAAGAGACCTTTTGGTTGCAGCTATTATTGGCGACGTGATCTTTCAAATTGGAGGGGTTTGCCCACCTAAGTTTTTAGTCCTGACTTTTTGTTTTGTGAGTTTTGGCCCTGAGTTCCTAATGCGGTAGCCAAAATGTTATTGAATGCTCCAAGTTTGGTTTGTCGTTTTTTTCGATGTTTGGGGAATATTTGTACAATGTTCAAAATGAGTACGTGGGTGTTTCTGAATTAAAAATTCAATTCGGTGGATGATTTTGGAATTTTGATGGTTGTGACAAATTTTTAATGTTCATGACGCAAATGAAAATTCAAATTTTATGTTAAATAAATTTGCACAAATTGAATCTTGACCTGATATTGGGTCAAGATCAAAACTTTATAAATGATTTTTCCTGACTGGCATTGAACAGGACGGATAGTCCTTGGTGATTAACTGAATAGACCAAAAATTTCTTATATTTACATTCACGATATTTTGTGCAAGGATTTTGTAGGCAATTAACACCAAAACAAAATGCGTGCTTTGAAATTTAGCTCTAGAAAACTGAGTCTGGGATTCGATGTACTTCAACGCCAACGTCTCGTCGTAGGTGTAAAGTCTTCGTCAAACTTAACGCTGCAATTGTTTTAATTTCAATTATTAAATAAACTTTATTGAGTTCAGTTTATAGTTAAAATTTTTATCTAAGAGAGCCAAGGATATATTGTATTACAAAATTTATATTACATTATGTAATCTTATTATAATTCGGTTTACTCATGTCTCTTGAGTGAAAGTGCACGCTCTAGTACCAGCGTGTTTCCTCCACGACATAATTCATGACATTCGTGTACAGGACCAATGGTGCGCCCTGCTCGTGGCCGCGAAGGAGGGACATGATGCTGCCGTGGCGACACTCCTCGACCACGGAGCCAATATTCATCAGAAAGACATGGTAACATCCACTGCATTTTTTCGGTTCATTTTTCGTCAGTCTCGTATTACTCTAAAATATCCCGCATCAATTTTAATCATTAGGTATCATGCAGCTAGTTGAGGATTTGCTCTACGACGGTGTTGAGTCTGATAACTTTTTCCCCACTTAACTATTTCCGTAAAGCGTTGAATAACCTTTTTTCCAATTTATTTTGTTTGCGTGTGCCAAAAATCTATACATTCTTAATTCATTCTGCAACTCCTCGTAAATTTTTTTTTTTCATTCTTAGCTGTAAGTGATTATTTTTGTGTTTTTTCCGTCGATACATGATTCAGACGCAAAACCTCTGATCAAATGCTGAAACTTGGCGTTTTATTTTGAATACCGCACCTGCAGGGCGGCTGGACGGCGCTGATGTGGGCGTGTTACAAAGGGCGCACGTCCATGGTGCAGCTCCTCCTGGAGCACGGCGCCGACCCCAACACGCAAGGGCCCCACCACATGACCTCCCTCATGTGGGCCGCGGGCCGGGGCTACACGCAGATCGTCAAAGACCTCCTCGGTAAAGGAGCTAAAGTCAACATCGGAGACAAGTTCGGCACGACGCCATTAATATGGGCGGCTCGTAAAGGCTACCTTGAGATCTGCCAGGCGTTGTTAACGCATGGAGCCACCACCGACGCTACCGGCATGGTGAGCTGGGCAATGCAAACCTGATGTGTGTGCAAACATTCTTGTGGGGGATGAAAATAAGACTCGAAGTAAACGTGACTCCTCAAATGATTTAGAATATTTTATTTGCAGTCTCTGAAAGCCTATTGTAATATTGTGTGACTCTAAAAATGACACCATTTCTTTTCTCTTTTTCAAACGTTCTCGTGTAGACTCTCCATCATGACTCCAGTCTCAGTTAACGTGGTGAATTTTGTTCTGTCAGTAAATATTTCCATACTCTTGAATTTCTTCATGCATGGCCTTATATTTATTCTTTTTAAGGTTGTGCGTAAATATCCAGTCATCTCCGTGATGTCAACTTCTTTTCTCAACTATAGCAATGTGATTGATGTGTCACTGTTTGTTGCAGTACTCATGGACGGCATTACTGGTGGCAACTAGAGGCAATTATGTTGACTTGGTGCGCTTATTGCTGGACCACAAACCGAACGTTAACGCCCTGGACAAGGACGGAGGCACGGCGCTCACCATCGCCTGCAAGGAAGGCTACACGGAGATCGCCCAGGCTTTGCTCAACGCTGGTGCTTACGTAAATATTCAGGTGAGATCCTTATAAAAATTAACCGAATCTGAGTATTGCATCTGACTTGGTTTATGTTTAGGTAATATTCTTATCAATATCTATTGAATCTAAGTATTGAAACTGAGTATCATCGGTATGTCAAGATTCAGGTAATCTTCTAATCAATATCCATCGAGTCTGAGTATTAAAACTCAGTAGGTAAAGTAAGAAAGTTATCAATATCTATTGAAGCTGAAATCTGTAGGTACGCTAATATTCAGGTGTTAGTTATATCTTTATCTATCATAGCTGTTCATTTATATTGAGGACTAAGTAATGGTCCGTATTTGTACTGTATTTATAAAATATTGTAGAACTTTGGTCGTCTTTATCTGTATTAGATTGGCTTTTGTGTTTATATTCTCTACCAAAACTATTTCCCTTTCCTCGAACGATTATCTTCAATGATCTTTGTCAATAGTTTCGTTGATATGCAGATTCTACTATCAATCCTCGCCCTAATTAGTGTCTCCTATTTTTAAAGCAAAACAAATAAATAATTCTAATATGACTGATATTTTTCTTATCTCGTTATTTCAAAATCTTTGCATGCTAGCCTAGCTCATTTAAAGATGGTTGAAACTCTTATCAACATAGATCATTGTCGTTCGAGAAATTGAGTAACTACTGAACGATAATTAAATATAACTTTTTGGTGCAGGACCGCAACCAAGACTCCAATTTGATATACGCGGCTAGAGGCGGCCACAGAGCTGTCGTGGAAGCCCTTATGAAGAAATACGCTGACGTAGACCTGGTCGGCAAAGATAAGAAGAACGCTCTATACTGGGCAGTCGAGAAAGGCCACACATCAGTCGTTAAGGTGGGTGTTTTTAACCATGTCAAAACGTACTTAACTAGTAAAGCATTGAAATATTTAAGTGGAAATGGTTTATTTGTTTAATCTTGTACGTTTGTCGTCGCTTCTTCTTCGACGTTTTGCTGTGCACCCACAGTTTTTGCGACTCATTTCTATTTGAATTCACTGCTTCAGTGATTAATTTCTGAGGATCGTCACAGCTGCCGTAACGTATTAATGTGCCTCTACATCTACTATGACTTATTTCAATGTGTTGTCACAACTACCGTTGACGCTGAACTGCTGTTAACAGCTGCTGCTGACGGCAAACCCTGATCTGGAACATAGCACCAAAGACGGCGACACGCCGCTACTCCGCGCCGTTCGCTCCAAGAACGCCGAGATCGTGCAGCTGCTCATCGACAAGCGGTGTAAAGTCAACGGTGCCGACAAGAAGGGCGACACCTGCCTTCACATCGCTATGCGTGGCCGATCTAAGGTATGGTTCTATTAGCTTAGGGTTTTTGTAGCAAAATTGTGAGAAAATAAATCAATGTTAAGGGGTTAAGGGGTTCATAAATATACGTATTGATTCTGCATTAACATTTCATGAATTATTGGGAACTGCATTCAACTTTGATGATAAGACTCTCTGCTATCTTAAAAATTTGAACTAGTTATCCAAAATTGGTATGATTTTACACAATGAATTACTCGTCTCCATTATTTATTGTTACGTTTCCCTACCTTCCCAACTTAATTCCGAGAATGCATATGGATTTTCAAAATAGTGTCTTAATATTTCATGTTTGTTTATTGGATAAAGGAAATTTTTCTAGTGGCCCAACGAATTCAATTTATACTTTAGTGATCAATCACAATGACTACAAGTTTAATTTGTTGTTTGTGCCTAAAATGTTAATTTTTTTGACGCAGGGAATAGTTGAGATTTTACTACGGAACCCAAAGAACAGCCAAATGTTGTACCGACCCAACAGAGCGGGAGAGACGCCCTACAACATCGACTTGGCTCACCAAAAGACAATATTAGGACAAATATTCGGTGCTCGTAAGTCGTGCGAGATTCACATAATCCTAATAATAATAATAATAATAGTTACTTTCATTAAACATTTGAAGTAATATATTGATTCTTCTACTGTCCATTCGTGTGGATCATTATATCTTGCATTTCATATTTGACGTTGGTTGTTATTATTGTATTTTTGATTTGTCGATTTCATACATGGTGTGAAATATTAATATTCCATGTGTATCAGTGGAAAATTGCCTATCAAGTTTTGCAAAGCAGGCCTATTGCTTATTATTGATAGAAATTATTGCTAGTAACAGTACGAGATGTAGGTATGCTTCGAGTATTTCTTCAAGTTTGTCACTTCTAGAAACTATTTATTTTCTATGTTCTACTAAAACGAGCTTGAATCAATTGACAGAGCTGACTTGAAATGAGGACTTGAATCAATTTTTGCAGCCCTCGTTAAAACTTACAATGGTAAAAAGATCTCGGTATTGAAGTGTACCTAGTAACAAAGATTCGAAACCGTGTGATTGCACAATAACAAAAGTTTCAATAATTATTATTGTATCTTTGAAGGGTTTGTCTTCACCTTAAAATGAATTTATTTCCTGCAGGTCGTTTGAACACGAACGAAGACAACGAGAACATGCTGGGATACGACCTTTACTCGTCTTCTTTAGCTGACATCCTGAGTGAACCTTCCCTCTCGATGCCTATCGCTGTGGGGCTCTACGCTAAGTGGGGCTCCGGCAAGTCTTTCCTCATCAGAAAACTCAAAGGTTTGGCTCAAGTCATCTATGAAATTTTAATTACTTTTATTGCTACACTTCTCTTTAACTTCACTTCTTGTTGTTTGTCTGTCTGTCTGTCTGCTACAAATCTTATAATCAATATTTAACACACTTCTACCTGTCCAATCGATCTGAAATTTAGCACACTTGCATAAAGTTGGAGACAATGCATGATTCAATTGACAGAATAAATGATTTTAAAAATTAAAAAAATTTCAATATTAAAAAAATTAAAAATAATTTTGTCAACTACAAATCTTATTATCGATGTTTGACACACCTCTACAATCGATCTGAAACTTTGCACCCTTGCGTAAAGTTGGAGACAATGCATGAATCAATTGACAGAATAAATAATTTTATAAATTAAAATTTTTTATCATTATTAAAAAAGCTAAAAAATAATTTCGTCTGCTACAAATGTTATAATCCATACGGTATATGACACAATTTGACCTGTTCAATCGATCTGAAATTTTGCACAATTGCATAAAGTCAGAGACAATACAGGAACCAGTTGACAAAATAAATAATTTTGAAAATTTACAAAATTTTGATATCTTAGAAAAATTGTGAAAGATAATTTTTTTAATAGGTACCTACCTATTTGAAAATCAAATTAGAAATTCATTGTACATGTGTAACATCCAAGACAATGGATTCTTCAGAAGTGTTGTCTTTGAAAACTAATTTTTAAACGCATATTATTATTATTATTTAGGTTCAATTCAGAATTTCCGATGTAAAAATTATTGCATATTCAATGCGTTCTCATAATTCCTGTGAGTCATTTTAGAATAACTCGTTAATTCATAAATACTCTTATATATTACATACACAATTCTTTCATTAATTCATGTATTGGTTTTTCTATTTTTTTAATCATACCTACAATATTTTAACCCATACAAATATTGATACAAAATGTATCAATTGGTAAAATTTCTTGATTTTGAGCCTGTATGGTTGCAGAGGAGATGCGTAGCTTCACCCGTCAATGGGTGGAACCCATGTTCACTATTTATCCTGTATGGTTGCAGAGGAGATGCGTAGCTTCACCCGTCAGTGGGTGGAACCCATGTTCACTATTTATCCTGTATGGTTGCAGAGGAGATGCGTAGCTTCACCCGTCAGTGGGTGGAACCCATGTTCACATTCACGCCGCTGGTGTTCCTGCTGCTGCTACACGTGGGGGTACTCAGCGGGCTGCTGGTAGGGGCGCCGCTCCGAGACTGGCGAGTTGGACTCGGCATCGGCAGCTCCATCTTTATCATCTCCACGATCTTCTTCATCGCCGTGTGGAAAGGATCGAGAAGGTAGACCAAAAATATTATATTTATTTTTCTTCAAAAATGTCACATTGCCATCATGGTTAAAAACATTCGTTTTGAAATCTAAATTTCTCTTGAGTAACAATATTGATTTCTATTATTTGGTGTAACTATGAGTATGATGTATATGCGACTTACAGCTTTGGTAACTCTGCTGACATTATTCATTATCATTATCATCAGCCTTGTTACCTTGGCTGACATTTATTCATTATCATCAGCCTTGTTACCTTGGCTGACATTATTCATTATCATCAGCCTTGTTACCTTGGCTGACATTATTCATTCTCATCAGCCTTTTTACCTTGGCTGACATTATTCATTAACCTCACTCATATGACGCAGGTACGAGATTCAGTTATGGCACAATCTGTCAGTGCGGCTGGAGCGCTACATGACAAACCTGAAGCTGGTGATGCAAGTCATCTTCTGCTCGCCGCCGGGGCCTCAGTACAGGAACTGGAAGGAGAGCCTACACGTGCGCCCCCTCAAGTCAGTTTCATTTCTTAACTTCCTTTTGATTTTTTCCACTTTGAATATCTGTTATTTTCCTCCAAACTAATGCTATAAAAATGATGATCGATGTTGTATGTTTGTATCTCAATGTTAATAATTTTTGATTCATGCGAGTATGTACTCGTTTTGTTCTATTCAGGAAAACATTTATTCCATGTACTTGTCAATTTCATTTTCTTTCTTCCTCGGTGTGCCTCAGTTTGTTTCTCGAATCTCGAAACCTTTCGTGTATCAAATTTTATCCCAAATACCATGAACGCTTGAGTCCAATAAGATTTTATCCGAGAAATAATTTATTCTGTTGCTAGGCTATTGTAAAATTCGGACGTTTCTTCCACGTTTTCGCATTATTTTCTTCCACGTTTCTTCACAATGTGCGAAATGTATGAATTGTTACGGATTCCACGTAAATTTTTCGGAGCATGAAACATGGCTCTAAGAATCTAATTATGCATGGCAAATTGATAGACCTGATATCCTACTGAGCGCAGACCTGTTTCTCAGTATATAATGTTATGAAGTTTCTTATTATTAGAGAAAAATTGCAGTAAAGTTAGTTATAAATGATGTGAAGGGATGAGGTTAACATTTTCAAGATCTATGTTGATAATAAACGCTGATGATAAATAACCGTTGTGCAGGTTTGTGTTTGCGGACGGAGCAAAGCCAGGCAACACCGCTGACGGCGAGTCCTCCGTGGTGCACATGCTGGGGTCGCTCTTCGATAAGGTGGAGCAGGAGTACGGCGTGTTCTCCACCCGCCTCTACAGGGCCTTCAGACCTAAGCCACGTCAGTATAACACTTCATTATACTTGTATATGTGACTGAAGATTTCATTCTACTCGTGTTTTGTGGTACGATTATACCCGCTCAGTATGCACTCTAGTGTTGTGCTTCAGTGTACACTCGCGTGTTGTGTTGCAGTGTACACTCGCGTGTTGTGTTGCAGTGTACACTCGCGTGTTGTGTTGCAGTGTACCCTCGCGTGCTGTGTTGCAGTGTACCCTCGCGTGCTGTGTTGCAGTGTACACTCGCGTGTTGTGTTGCAGTGTACACTCGCGTGTTGTGTTGCAGCGTACACTTCGGTGTTATGTTTCAGTGTATAGGTACTTTAGTGTTGTGTTTCAGTGCATACTCAGGTCGTGTCCGGTCATTCAAGTTCGCTTTGTGTAGTTCTGATGCCAAACTTTTCCTGCCTCTCTTACCTGTCCAAGCTAGCTGAAGATGGTTTGAAAGCGTGAAGATGATGCTGGATGGCTGCCATGAGTGAAGTGGTGAAGGTTAACACGGAGAGTTAAATTTGTTTACACGCTAAAAAGCCAACTCCTTTTTTCGATATGGTACTTTTTTTAGTACCGGTACTTGAAAAGTGATTTTCTCGTCTGCATTTTGGCATGATGTTAAGCATTTGACCCTAATTTCTTCGAAGCTTTGTGGCAATTAAACTGTTTATCTTGATCGTTTGTATGTGGCATGGTAATGTCGTTTACGCTGACTGCGGGTCTCTGTCAATTATTATTTGTGTTATTAGTTTCTATTGTGTTGCAACGCTAGTAAATATATTAGAAAGTCACTAAAATGTGCTCATGAGAATCAATGCATTTCAGAGTTTGCACTATAATTTAGTCTTCGGTTGGAGTTTGTATTGAATTATTAAATGTTATCATCTGCTATAATGTTTACCGCGCATACCATAGTGTATAGGCAATTCCATTATGTGTTTGCGTTATGATAATTACTCGTATACATTTCTGGAACCAAATTTGTAATTACAATAATGCTTCTAATAAAGACAGTTTGTATCACACATATAATGTTCAATAAAAACTAGGTATTACCACTACCGTAACTGTTGGTACTTCTGTTGACGATTATTATGGATTATTATATATTTCTTTTTCGTTTATTATCAATTCGTGTGAATTAGTATATCATTGTTTTTCGTTTATTATCAATACGTCTGGATAATTATATCCTTGTATGTCGTTTATTATCAATTCGTGTGGATTAGTACGTACCTATCTCTCTATTTCGTTTGTTGTCGATTCGTGTGGATTAGTACCTGTATCCTTGTATTTCGTTGCCAGACGATTAATGTGGATTGTTGAATAAATCCCCGATTCTGCCCCTCGAACAGAAGGAATCACGAGTCCGTGGAGATACAGAAGGCTGTGCTGCATCCCATACGTGCTGATCTACCTAGTGACGCTGTTCTGCGTGCTCACCGTGTCCACACTCGCTGCTAATTTCGGATTCCACGCCTGGGGCTACGAACCTGAAGAGCCTGCAGTAATAAGTATGTAACGCTCCAGGAAATGAATGTTAAAATCTATTTTACTTTGTTTTATAATGAATTAATTTTGTAATGACAAATTAAAAATTTTATCTGATTTTTGTTCATTTCATTATACTACTTACATGTTTGCTCTTTAAATTTGCTAAAATTGGAAAATCGCGTTTCCATTTCACCGAAATATTTTATATATATAATAAATTGGAGAACCATTAGAAAAATAATTCTCAGCACTAAATTCAGTATTTATTATTTAACCTAAAATTAGTTTTTAATATCTGACTGTAATTTTTTGATAAAAATTAAGAAACTTCATGCTTTGGTGCAGCGCTGAACGATGACATGCCGGTCACGAACAACCTGACGGGAGGGGACGGCGGCGAGGACGACGATGATAACAGCAACGAGTCTCAGGAGGAACCTGCAGCCGACGATGATAGCGACCCTTACTCGTGAGTTGAACGATGATAGCGACCCGTCCTTGTGATGTCCGTCATGGTCCGAGAATATCATCGGAACTGGCGCTTATCATTTGAATAAGAGAAAAAAAACCTGGATGTTTCATGACTCTATTAATTATTTATTCGATATTTTGACAGAGTGACCCCCGCGTGATTATTATACTTTTATATTTTGAAGTAGCGTAGTGTCATAGTTAACTCTGGCCATTGCATAATGATACGCCAATACTCATAGTTATTGAGTAAAAAGATATTCCATAATATATCGACCCTTAAACACTTTTCTTTATCTGATCGTTCATCCTGTTTTCTCTCAATTCCTTGTGCGCCGCATTGTTTTTATTATCACTCCAGAGCCTATCTCACAATCTTACTACGTTTCAACCCAACTCTACTCACACATCTTCGCATATTGGTCTATTTTTCTTGTACTGTTCTTGATGCATCACGCTCAAACGTTAAATCTTTTTCTTAGAGACGTTAAGTCCTGCTCAGAGGACCATAGAAGTCTGTATATCAAGGTGCGAATAAATTTTCTGTAATGAAATGAAGTCCATACGGTTATGTAGTTAGATGCAACTAGCACGTATTTAGTTCGCGAATCAATTTCCAGTAAGGAAACGTACTCTATACGGTTATGTATTTAAATGCAACTAGCACGTATTTAGTTCGCTAATCAATTTCCAGTAAGGAAATGTACTCTATACGGTTATGTATTTCAATGCAACTAGCACATATTTAGTTCGCTAATCAATTTCCAGTAAGGAAATGTACTCTATACGTTATGTATTTCAATGCAACTAGCACGTATTTAGTTCGCTAATCAATTTCCAGTAAGGTAATTCATCATGTCCAATAATCCATGCCGTCATGTGCCATGAACCCCTCATGCATCAAAAAGTTTTGTTTGCGTCTGTGCAGTCGTCCGTATCACGGCTACGTGATCAACCCTCTGCTGTACACGTCGATCGCGCTGGTAGCGGTGGTGCTTATCGCCAACTTGCACACCCTCTTCAGGATGCTCGTGTCCCTTGTGTTCTCGCACCGCCGCCATCTCATGAGGGCTGTCTCGAAACTAGACACTCTCAAGGCAGAGGGCTACCTCCACACCCTCAAGGGCGAAGTCATGCTTATGGTCGACATGGTGAGTTTCAGGCAACGTTGTTTTCGTTATTCCTGGTCTTTTACGGATTTTTTTCAGATACGCCTGTTCAATAGTCAGAGGTGTTTTTAAGCTTGGCAAATGTCAGGGTAACCGTGCTTGATTGTATCGTCCGCGTCCAATATATTCAGATGAACGAGGTTGAAGGAAAATTTTAAAACCGTGCCAATGACCGGCGTGTTACCGCAATTTTTGCAATTTTTTGTCCGATTATTTATTGGCCTTCGAATGCTAAAGCTGACACTGTATAATATAAATGTTTAACTAGTTATTTGACGACACTGTATAATATAAATGTTTTACTAGTTATTTGATACCAGCTAATAAAATATACCGGTACTTGTGTAATAAATTCTTAATCAGTCGTATAAAATTGAGCTTGTGCTTTAAGTTGAGCATCTTAAAATTGTTGCTTGTAAATATACTGCAAAAACGCAGGAATATATCAGCCTTTTAATACTTGAAAAACACAAATTGCTGATATGTCATCTTTAACTTGAGCGAATGTATGATGTCGCATCCATAGAATTTTATAGAAGTGTTCAAAACCGGTTTCCATAGAGTATTACCCTTGAATCCTTGTTAGGGGATTCCACTCGCCACTGTCCAGTAGTCGTGATAGACCTTTACTAAGTTATATTTGAACAATTTTTAGCGCATTTTCTCATTTATAAAAAAAGCGCTATTGTGCTTGCCATGTCCGCCCGTCCGTCCGTCCGTCCGTCCGTCCGTCCGTCCGTAACTTCACATTATCGTCGACGAGAAAATGCTCTCTCTGTCACTCACTGCAGTGAGTACTGAGTTATATTTTGATACATTGTCGTACTTGGTGCGCAGGTGAAATGCCTGGACGCGTTCAGCGAGCAGCAGACGCGACTCGTTGCCATCGTGGACGGACTGGACACGTGCGAGCAGGAGAAGGTGCTCTCCGTGCTCGACGCGGTCAACACGCTCTTCACTGACTCCTCGGCGCCATTCATCATCGTCCTCGCTATCGACCCTCACATCATCACCAAGGTGAGCATCGCTTGCTTGTCCTTCATCATCGTTAATTTTCGTAAGGTGAGCACTCCACTCACCATTCATCATTATGTTATCTCCGAGGCCTGAAGCTCCTCCCTTATTCACAATTATTGTCTGTGATACTTTATTTTGTCAACAGTAAATCGACTTTTTTATCGATATGTACAAGATATCGATAACAATTTAATGAATTTGTAGTACTATTCATCATGTATATAATTCTAACAAAAACATTCTTTATTATTCATCCTTAACGTTCAAGAATAGACTAGATAAAGCTATGGAAAAATATATGTTCAGATTTGAAATGCCTAGCTCCTTATCGAACCCAGTGGAAGTCTAGTAGCTACTTCAAACTATCGTCAGTCATGAAAACATCCGGTCAAATGACACGAGTTTAGATCTATGAACAAGGCACGAAAAGGAAAAGAATCGGCGACAGGCCACATCAGGCCTACACTTCAGCGCCGACATCACCATGTTATGTTATGTTAACGATATCTAAGTACTATAAAATTAAAGAATATTGTTGATGTCAACGTTTCTATCACGTTGACGTGTGCAGGCAATAGAGCTGCACGTGCACCGCGTGTTCAGCGAGTCAAGCATCAGCGGGCACGACTACCTGCGCAACATCGTGCACCTGCCCTTCTACCTGCAGAACTCAGGGCTGCGTAAGGTGAAGCAGGCGCAGCAGGTGGCCGAGCGAGCCCGCAACCGCTCGGGGGGCACCTTGTGGGTGGACGAAACTGACTCTGTCAGCGTGGCAACCACCTCAGCCATGGGCGGCATCAGCCATGTTAGTAGACCCAGCAATTACGCTTCACTAGTCACTACTGTACAAGTAATCCGACGGGGCACCGCTGGTTGGTAGTGAAACACAATTGGTAACACGGCACGTATACTGGCAACACAGAGAGAGCGAGAAAGAGTCGGTCTGATTACGATAAATCAGATACTTACGCGACGTGTTGCTATTGTGTACATTGGCTTCCGAAGGCACGTTAAGGTTCGGACGAGAGTTGTGAACATCACTCTACACAATTACTATTTCCAAACTAATTACTATTTCCAAACTAATAAAAGTATCGTCCATGCTTTTAATAGGGATTTGTTTCGAACCTGACTCTTTTAACGTCGCCACTACATGACTCGTTCATGCTTTTATAAGTAGTTTTTTTATATGTGATCGTACATGCTTTTAAAGGGTTTCCCTGGAAAATCGCGAAACCCTTTCATTGAGAGTGTTTTCCTCGACTTCTGTTGAAACCTTTTCATTTAGAGGGTTTCCATCTTAAATTTTGGAAAGCCATTGAAAAGTTTTGCCTAGCGTTCTACTCAGCCTACTTATTAACAAAACTACATGCAGATACCCACGAGTCGCCGGTTGTCGGTGGAGAGCGGCGTAAGTCAGGCCGCCGGCATGCGCCGTAACCCCAGTAAAGGCAGCCGCCGTCTCCTCAAGCAGTCCGACTCCATCGCGTCCAGCATTGCTTCCAACCTCAACAGGGCGGGCGGCGCTCAAGACCTTACAAAGGTGGGTCACATCTACTCACTTAATATCCTGTGTATGGTCATGGCAACTCGCTTATGATCCCATTTAGGGTCATGCAAACAAATTAATAATCTGGGGAATTTGAGCCTCGGTATCTAGAATGTGCCTACATTTCCATATTGTCGCAGGAATATTCTTTGATGACGTTGCTCATAGATTTTAAATTCGATTGCTCTCTTTCTTGGAGTGAAATGGGTCAAAGAGTGAACGAGTTTATTTGAATATATCGCTAGACGGTATTATTTAACTTTTCCGCGAGTATAAGTAGTACGTTTTTATTTATATTTTCATTTCTCATGCAGCCCTCGAAATATTTCATTCTCTAACCGCAAATATATTTAACTAAGACAAGGCGTAATGGAACACGATATTCGTTAACCTGATCTGCTATCTCTGCCTCCCTCTAGGTGCTCCTCACTGACGACTACTTCAGTGACATCAACCCTCGCTCCATGAGACGCCTCATGAACGTCGTCTACATCACCGGCAGGTGAGAAACTCTGAATTAAACTTGTTTCATGTTTTTGCGCAATGTTTTATAAGTTCATTATTAATATGTGGTGTACGAGTTTCTCTTTATGATGATACTTGATATCTAGGGGAAAGTGAATGGGGGACAGTTGGACGCGTTAATTATTGGATACGGTATTGCAAAGGGTGCAACGCGCCTCTCTGCCACGTCCTTTAATGCACTGACTTGTGTGCCATTACTACCCGACACTGTTGTTTAACATTAACCTTTAATATGAACAATAATTCATGTGTCCCACTGTCCCCAATGTACCACTTTCTCCTACATATATTGTTAAGGAGCTGATACGTGATGACATTTGAGCTTCATTTCGATTTTAATGGCTCTCGAACAATTTGACCTTGATATTTTTGCAGGCAAATTTTTCCCTTATTATTTTAGTCATGCAAATTGACTTTATTATTTGTACTGACGTTTTAAACTGATAATGAAAGCTCTTAGTTCGAAGGTTTGCATCGGAAATATAATGAATGAACTTTCTTGGAAATATTTTTACTGTTAGTAGACTCTTGGCCACGATGCAATTTAATAAGACGCCTTAATTTTTTATTTACGTATTACGAATATTGATTGAGTTTGTAATTTTGATCAGGTTATTGAAGGCGTTCCACATCGACTTCAACTGGTACCACTTGGCGTCGTGGATTAACATCATCGAGCAGTGGCCGTATCGCGCCTCGTGGATCATCATGTATCATGAAGTGCATGAAGAAGCCATCGAGGATAAGATCTCCCTTAAGGATCTTTATGACAAGTAATTAGTCCAATCCTGAGTCTAATTAAGCATCGTATTCCAATACCTAGACCTTGCAGCGCTAATCGAATTGTTGCAGACGTGAATTAGTCTTGTTTAATGTGAAGAGTTCGTGTTGATTATGGCCTTGTATGTCTCATTATAAATATGGAAGTTAACAAAAACAGTTCGTTAGAGCATGCATCAAATGGTCCTATAGATCATTTAGCTTCATGTAATTCATCATTTAATTTCCTACGAATATAGGTAATTATTCAACTCCCTGTAATAATTCTTTATATACGTGTTCTTCAAAATAGTTTTTCTGCAGGATTAAAAACCTCATTCCGAACAACAAGGACATGGAGCCTTTACTGATCATGGACAAAGACGAGAAAAAGTTTGAAATTTTCTTGTCCATGCACAAAACTTCCTTGCATGTTGCGGACATGAAAGTCTTCTTGCCATTCACCATAAACTTGGATCCATTCATTAGAAAGGTGAGTCATGTTTATTGCAAATGTTCTGAAAAATTTCTCCTTGTGATAGCAAGAAAATTACAAATAATGTGTCCTTATTATAGTCTCGGTAAGGCTTTTTATTTCTTGCTTCATGTGCAATGCACATCCATTTTAATGCTCTTACACCATTATTTCTTTACTTCAATTTGTTGCAAAGGTGATGAACGCTAACTATTCAAATGATCCTTTTATTAATATTGAAATCTTTTCTGGTCGTAATTGTGACCTGCTTCGCATCTTTTTTATTAATTCTTATTATATTATATTATAATAATATATATAATATCTTATATTATATTATATCATATTATATCCATGACTGGTATTATTACGACAGGTGATCAAGGAAGATCAGCCGCAGTTCGATGTCGCGTCCACGCCTGCGCCCATGTGGAACTACCAGACACCTTACGATGTCGCCAGCAAAGCCTCCACGCTCACCAGGAGACAGGTTAACATTCTAAAATATGCTTATGCTTTCAATTTATTTATTTCTTCTTGTTTCTTGTGCCTGCGATAAACCAATAACTCGGGACATCTTCATTGACGATACCTCTTGGCGCATTGCCTAACTACTAAACTGATTCTGATTCCTAATGAGGATATGCTAATGTAGAATTTCATTCTTTTCTCTTTAGACGCAAAAAAAAACAAGCGTCCCTAATTGCAAAATGTACTTGCTCTCCAGATACAGCGCAGCAACCAGAAAGTGTCGACGGGAAGTTTACCTCATCACGCCTCTCTGAACCCTCTAATGTGGGGATACCCGCCTCAGCCCCCTAACTATCTCCCCGCGCCCCTGGCATCTCATGTGGGAGGTTCTTTGGATTTCAACATCCCCCCTCCCGCGTCACAAATGAACCTGCCTGACCTCGACACCATTCTCGTGAGAAATGTCTTGCAGATGTTGCTTGTTTCTGTCTTATTCTAGGAAGGGTTAGGACCTTGACACCATTCTCGTGAGCTATGTCTTGAAGATGTTGCTTGTTTCTGTCTTATTCTAGGAAGGGTTAGGAATTCTGGTGAGCAATATCTTGCAAAATTTTGCTTGTTTCTTTCTTATTCTAGGAATGCTTAGGACCTCGACACCATTCTGGTGGGAATCTCCTGACATTGATCGTTTCTATCATATTTTTAAAATATTTTTGGCTGTAATAGAAACCATTCCCTTTCACTGAGAAAGGCTTTTCAATTATGTTAAACACTGAGATGAAATAGCTATTATCCACTTATTAGGTTATTCTGGCAATTGCATTTCATTGGGACTTCCAGCTTTTTTCGACTTGGGTTTTGTACGTACTACCGCTTTTTGAGTTTTATGCGTTCTTCCTTTCCAAAAATGATCACACGAATTTTACACGTTAGGAATTAGCGATCGGTAGTAAATTGCTTTTTAACTCTCTAAATGCATAATAGTTGATGGAAAATCCCTTGTGTGTTGCAGAGTGATACGCCTGAAAAGCATCTCTCGAGCATGACTTTAGAGGATCTGTGTAGTCTACTCAATAAAATCGTGGGGCTGAACGCTGCGGTGCTGCCCAAGTATCAAGATAATTTCCGAGCCAACAACATCACCGGCAAAGTCTTGGCGCACTGCGACCTGGATGAGCTCAAGAAAGTAGGTTCTCCGACTTCCAAACTGCATTTATAACTAATTTCGTTCTGAGGATTATGGATAAGTAACAATTCTCCAGTAGGCCTTCGCGTTAGAAGAACTGGAAGCAAATTTCCCTGAAACTATTTGTTCTCTACCATTTGTCTATATGGGAATCGTTACTGGACTAAAATCCTAATACCGAAATAAGTAAAGGTTCTTAAAAGGATCGTACAGCTGATGGGTTCTTTTTGATGATTTATCCTGATACAAGACCCTTGCTTATGAGTCCACGCAAGCGTGTATCGATTGGTAAGGTATTGTGAGTTAATAAGGGTATGTCTATCTTACTAGTCAATAGGGAAATATTGTTTTATAAATCTTTCCAGATAAGAATTACATTATCTATGAAACAGCAGTCATTTTGATTTAAATTACTAGGTTTTCACTGTTTCTAATTCTAATGGAGTGTTGGATGTGCTGATTGTGTGTTGCAGGAGCTTTCAATGAGTTTCGGCGACTGGGAGCTGTTCAAGATGGTCGTACAATGCCTGAGGGATATAGAGATCACGGCGGAAGAGGAAGATTTCATCACGAGGAATGTACGCTTCGGAGCTCCCATAACTCTGGACGGGGCGCTGGGGGGAAGCCATCATTTCGGCGACGAAATTTCCAGTTTGCCATCAGACGCGTCCTCGTCTCGCCGGGGTAATGCTCTTGAAGGCCCCCCCTCGGACTCTCCCGTCCTCACTGAAATTCCCTAAGCATCGTTGTTGTTTGTTTGAAGCTTTTAAAACCTTGCGCCCCTCCTTTGCACCAGCACCCAGTCCTTTTCGTCCTTTTGATGATCGAGAGAAAATACATTTGGCCTTTTGAAAGTCTGGTACTTTTATATTGGACAATTTTAATGTGTTCACTTCACATTCACCAATTTAATAAAATGGGCACCTGCCTGAAAGACAACTACTTTGTTGTGAAGAAGTGAACGTCAAATGTATAGCTATTTATTCATGTACTGTAGATTTTGTTCTGACACTCATACATTTGAATGGCCATTCGTATTTTTGTGGTGCGTTCATATCGCATGTCTCAGTTTTATGAGTCACCCGCGTATGAACCATGCATCCCTTCATACAAGTTTTTTATTGGGGTCGAAAATGTCCTAAAAGCATTTTTCACTTGCTATATTTGTTTATGTGATTAAAAATGATTAATTTCGTTCCCAGCAGACTTGATGTTTTGCTCATCGTTTGTCAATCTTCAACAGTTTGATATTTTTCGATACCGACATTTCGAGTAGTAGTAATTCTTTACATTTTTTGTGCACGTTCTACTAAATTTTTCGATTCGATGATTTATAATGTACAGAACTTTGGGGCATTTTGCATTCATTTTTAGCACGTATGAATAAAATTATCCTTACCTGTGATAAAGCGTATAATTCATCTTGAAAACGCAGTCACTTATTTCATTTTTTAATCTTGTTACGAGTGTTCCTGTTGCTGAGTTTTTCGTTGAAAATTCTATATTGGTTCATGATTTCTTTAGCCGTGAATGTTGAAGCGATCAGTATTACTGGCGTGTTTCTTCGCCAGCATTTTGTATTGAAATATTATCTGAACGGATTACTCGATTTTCTGGTCCGTACGGCTGTCGATACGAATTATCTGTTAGATGGCAGGATTACTTTTGTCAAGTTTTCTACTTGACTTTTGGGCTGAGCTGTCCTGTGATATGTTCTGTTTAAGTATGAAACGCTCCTGCGCTGTTCACCGCTATCCATTCTGTCGACCTCTTTTATCATAACCATTTAGAACATTTCTCGTCTCACACAGACCTCCATAATTTCAGCAAGAAATACATATAATTATAATTTGAATTTCTGCCGATATATAAAATTCCAATTATTGCCTGACAATACCGATTTTCGATTTGATTAAAATATGAGCAGTTTCTTTTTGTTTAGGCCTAAAAGAGTTCGTTTATGATGCCATTTAATTATGAACCATAGTTTCCGGAAGAAACTTTGTTTAATTTTTTTGCGCGAGATTAGTTGATTTTGCATTGCAGTGTTTGCACCTGTGGTCCCATCTGCCTGCTGGTGCCCCAATATGTTGCCTGTGTATTGCACGTGTATCCATGATACCCCACCATGCATTGCGCTCACTGGAAAGCGTAACTCAAAATAATTCAATTTAATGTACTGTACATTACCCGGCCCCCTATTAGCACGTTGTTGACCATAATATTCCAAACTTTTTTGAGCATTCATCCCCCTTACTTCTCCTTTTTTCAAGGCATTCGTTCTTTTTGTTACTTTTCGTCCACTTCTGCAGTCTTTAAAAAGAATTTTACATATACTAGTGCGTACCGTTTTTCTCGATGCCTTTATCTGTGAACTCAATTGTATTTAGTTAAGTTGTTATATTTTCATGCATGTACTACGGGATATCATCCATGACAGTCGATCTGAATGATCTAGTGTGTAACCATTCCATGACCACCCTATGTCATACTCGACAAGTTTGAGTACATGCTCATCCAGTCATCCTCGCTCTCTAAAATAAGGCCCTGATGATCAGTCACTAGACCTTAAAAATCATTTGTAGCTCCTCCTATTGGCATTGACTTATATGTATCGTGACAATATTATTAAATGACTGTTACCTCACCCTGCTAATTATAAATCGTCTGCTGCCTTAAGGTTGGTTTACTATTATATTGCATGCCGTTCTAATGTGTTTTTTCCATACTGGTGGTGTCTGACGTTTGGTGCTTATCCGCACGCTTGATAGATAAGTTGCTTTGAAAATTTTCTTCGCGTTGACGCTTATTTACTTTCATCTTTAGGTTTGACCTTTTCTTACAATGATACTGTCTTGGCGAAACATTTTGAAGACGGTATTGCTTCTTTTTAATTTCCTTCGAATGCTGTCAGCCTGCAATATTTGTTCAATAATGTTTGTTCAACTTTATTTAGTTTAAATTGACATCATTTCTGATAACAGATATCAAAATTTGTCTTTTGTTTTTATGAGATCGCTTTTGTTGACTGTGATGATAAAATGGCTTGAAAATATAACAAAAGCCTCTGAACTCTTAAGAGCTGTTCATACTTCATACTCTGCATTCACTTTCTTCTCGTCTTCCATTTGTCTACTGAAATGAAGTATTGAAATTCTTGTTGAAATCAATGCAACTGAAATGTGATATTTTTAACAGCTCTTCCATTTAACATACTTGCAACGTATGCGGTAAACCAGTGAGGCAACATGAATAGATCAGTGGCGTGGCATGTGACATGGATGTGGCATGCGTTGATGATGTGCCATTTATTTGCGTGGTGATGATAGCAATGTGGTGTAGTGATAACCTTAATATTTAATATGCTTGATCCCATGAACGGGTTTCAAACGAACCCTGCAGTAAGTGAAACCTTTCTTGTCAGATGACCACACTCACTTGCCATTGATCCCATCACTTACGGAATAGGACAGATATTAATTTGATAATCCTATTGTGCTATTGTTCAATAATTTTTCTCTTTTTTAACATCGAGTCTCTTCTTCTTTCACTTCAAGTATAGAATTTGTTTATTTAAAATTTCCGCTCTCTAATCTCACTCTGCGTATGTTTATCTTCGACTGAAACTGGTTACATTTTCATCGTTCCACCATCCCGCCACAGTTGAGGTTTAGCCATAACTTTGTTTACCAAAAATTTTAAAACTTTCATGTTCAATAACCTGCTGTTTTTTCAGCGGCTTCCTTACATTTTTGTCTATGAAAATAAATTCCGTTTCAGAACTATCATTTAGTTGTGATGTCCATCGCTAAGGAGCCAGTCATTTAGTGCCTAAATAAAATATTTTAATAGTTTGTGTTTACTTCCCCCCATGATTTGTTGAGCCATGCTTTTGTTGTCATTAATTCTCTGTTTGCTTATTTGCCTTGTTCTTTTTTTGTGTGAGTGAGCCTGATTTGATCCCTGTAAAATTCCTGCATCTGAGCTCTGATTACTCTAGGGTAATCAGAGTATTGCTCTAGGGTCACAGTCAAAACTTAATAATACCCTGCTTTAGTAACGTCCATCCTTGTAAATAATCTGAAATCGCTTTAACATAAATTGTCAATTTGCTGATAAATCATTTTTATGTTCCACTGACCTGTGTGATAAATCGAACCAGGACCCAAGTACGAGTTTATTACAGCGCACGTAAATTCCTAATCTCTCGGAGAGCTTTGGCGACCATCACAGTAGTTTAAATAAAATTTTGTTCCGATAATCAAAGACTGTTTAAATATTGTGAAATATAATTTCAATGATTCTGAAAATCGAACATGACGACATTCCGCCAAGTTGTTGACCTAACTTGGTATTCCGAAAGGTGAAAACCGCTCTGATGCAAAGCTAAAAAAATTAAAATTGAAGCCAATTTCCATTCCAAAAGTATTTCATATCCGACATTCAACCGCGTTGTTTAGAAAAAAACTATCCAGATCGATTTTGGAGTAAACTACTAACTCTTAATTCCGATTGAAGCATTCAGTTTGAGATGAATTTCTAATATTAATTTTAAAATGCGTCGCAAACTATTCACGTAATACAACTATGGAAGAATAGATTCAATAACTTTTTTCTTGCCACCAAGGCTCAACGTAATTGTATTAATGGCAACCGGTGCCTTCTAAAGTTACCTATAAATTGGGCAAGAAATTAATAAAGTCAATGTCGGCATAAATTTTAGTCAGATTTTTTTATGACGAGGGAAGCTCGATTCAGCTTCCACGTTAATGAAATTTTTCTGTATGCAGCGAACGTTCGTGTGCTTATATGAACAAAATTGACGATTAATAACGAATTCCATTCCACGAGAAAAATTTTGGGTTCTATTTTGGATTAGAACTAAAGGTGAAATTAAATAAGTTTGAAAATTTAACAAAAAGACATGAACTTCGAAGTTCGTCTCCAAAGTGCTTTCTAAACGTGCATCATCTTTACTCACACCTGTATAGTTCATGTTCGATTTTTCTTTAGAGACTTGTTGCTATTAAATTGGAAATAAAGCTTAAGTATCGTGATAGAAGCCTATTACTAAAACGATTTGCCAGAAGAAATGTATCGCAGAAAAAATGCTTAAAACCTGAATTTTAAGTTCAGATCTCAAGTAGATAAATGCATAACTAATTGAAAATATTAATATCGAAAGTCCAATTGTTATAATTGATTTACAATGCGGATATATGATTTTTTATAAATGATTTATTGTTGTTTTAAAAAATCTTGGATGATGAATAAGGCAGCGAAGTTGTCGATTTTTGATTTAGCAGATTTATTTAAAATATTTTGATCATCCACCAATCTCCTAGAAGTTATCACGATATAACCGACGTTGCTCCTCAAAACGATATCTAAAAAGCAACTTCATCCGAAATTATTTAAATGAAATATCATAGCAACGTAAATTCTGATGAATTGTTTTGAAAGCTTCCCTTCAATTTAAATTAGGCATATGTCCGTCATATTGATGATTTCAAATTTGTTTATTTGGCCTCTAACGTTTTAACCTTTGTACGTTTTTTAATTTTTTTTAACATTGAAGCAGAAGATCCGGCTTGCAAATTTGAATATTCCTACATTTTTTACATCATTGCACTACCAAATGTTTAGTTACATCTCGTCTTGAATATAGCTGAACAATCCATGAATGCCGATCAAGATTTTGTGCACATAGTCTAATATTGCATATTGCACAAAAAATAGGGCTGAATTTTTAATAATGAATCATGAAATCATCATCTAAAAAATTTAAAACTATATCGTACGTAAACTCAAATACCCCAAAATAATCGAAATCTTACAATTTAAATCAAGACAGGAGGGAATGCGATCATATTGGGTATTAATGATCCATATGCTAGATGGTTATTGTAGAAACGGGGACATTTTTTAGACGCATAGACGGATTAAGATGGTACATACAAATTTCGAGGTGATTTGGCTCAGATTTTATAGTTACTATGAACTTAATTTTTAAATAATCGTATGAAAAATATTATTGATTCCTAATAAAACCTATAGTCAAGCTCCGCATACATAATATTTGTTTTCATAATCCCGCTAAGTTGACCTGTCAAATCTCGTCACCTCCAGGAAAGGCTACCAATTCTATAATCGCATTTCCAACTACCCTCTGAGAAAAATAAAAGAGGACTTGTCCAAATACCTATGCACTTTTTTGCATTCATATTGATCATGTGACCCATACGAATCTGGGGCCATACTTTCAAAATTCGCTAAGTGAACGTAAGTACTTACGCTCTATTTTCATGTCTATGATTGGTGGATTTTGTTTGAAAGGCCATCAATGATTGGCTGATGAACTTACGATCTCTTAACTTTTTTTAAAAGTATAGATTCTGGCTGTTGTTAGTGTATCAATGCCCGTCCGCTGCCTGCTCGCGCTGCGTCTGAATGTGTCACTATTGATACATTAACCCATTCATTTTTCTGAATTCAAGCTTGATGAAACTGAAAACATATGTAACTTGAGCAGACTTTCCGGAGCACTAATGTAATGATAATATTTTATGATTTTATTCGCAACGTTGATAATTATTCATGCATATTTCATCGATTTAGTTTCTGAGAGTTATACCCACCGAATTTTTACGAAAGTGGCAACCCTCCAAAATTAAATTTAAATAATACTTGGTAAAAAGGTTCATTAATTTTTCTTCGTCGTGTTCGAGATTTAAGAAGATCAGAAATCGAGCATTATTTCGACAAGCATGAGGCTCATATCAAGTAATTCCTAAGCGTGAGGTCGTTACTTTATATTTCAAATAGGATGTAAGACAAGTTCATATATGAGAAGCCCCCTGTGAAGTCTGAATCGTCTAATCTATAAATTTATACAAACTTAAATCTCGATCCAAATAAATCGTAAATAATCTACAATTCATTAAAATTGGAAGTCAGCTAATACGTTAAAATTATTTGAGATGCATTTCAAAATCCCCCTTTTCTGGTCAAGTGACTTGTAGTACGAATCGCAATTATTACTCAGCCGCGGAATACGCCTAGTGGAATCCGTAGTAAATTTGCTAACGAATAAACCCAAAAAATTCATTCGTGAGAACCTCTATAACGAAATCAGTTCTCAATAATCACAAATTATAATGATTCATAAATTTCATTGTTCATTGGCGTTCTGTATATATGAATTTAGTGACTACTGCATCTTATCACTTCCAACTGATAACTGAGTAGTTTGTTTAATAGAAGGTATCAGTTTTTCTTTTTCGATGAAAGGACTTTCAACCACACTTTAGTCCAGCCAAATAAAATTCGAGTGTATATGCCATGCGCTTTCCGTTCCTATAGAGCTTTGGGGCAATTAGAATTTTTTTAAATCCAAAAATTACAATCAATGGCGTATTTTTAAAACGTTTGTTTCTATTTATTCATTCATAATGTTTTTTCTCGCGATTTGAAATGAATAAAGTCGAACAGCATATAACAAAAATTCGAAAAGGTATTTGTTGTTTTTTTCTCATTCATTTATACATCCGTTTCAAATTCATCTTTCCTTTCGTCACTTTCTTGAAAAAGTGATTGCCTTTTGACGCTGCTTGCCAACTTGCATCATACCATATAAATTCAGGAAATCTAAATCATGTACCGGTAGTATATTTCTCAGGTTTGAAATATAAGTGGAAAATGTGTAAAATTAATATTTATAACGGAAATGAGATTGCCAGAAACCGTGTAATATATAGGTACCTACCGGTATAGTTTTGAAATGTTTTTCTGCTTGCCATTTTAAGCAAATGTTTTGGAGCGTTTAAATATTATATTATATTATATATTATCAAACAACCTCCTGCTCCAGAAAAATAATGAAACGATTCTATTTCAAATCCAATTTAAAGAGGACTGTCACATCCTTGTTATAGTTCCGCATGTTCAAATTAACCGCCGTTATACTTTCCAGCCGATATAAATACAGTCACTTACAAATAAATATTCTCAAAATTACTAGCTGTTTTAACTAAACGCTGTATCAATTATTTATCAGCTTTTCCTACTACTAGCTTATAACTCAGAAGCCTGAAGATTTACGGCAGAATAATTCACTTACCTTGAACCTTAGTTGATCTTTATTTAAGAATTTAGTCCCTTCCATTACACTGGGTTTTACTTAATTTCAGTATAACCCCACTCCTTGCATACTGATATTTTGGGATATTTTATTTGTTCTTCTTCGCTGTTTCTTTCTCTTCCTCCCTCGCTGAGCTTGTTAGGTTCCCGGTTAGGTGCAATAATTGTAACCATATTTCTGTACTCTAAAATAAATACATATCACATATGTGCCTTGTTCGTAGAATAAAACTGTAGCCACATTGCGCGTTGATAATCATACATGTTCACGAAAAACTACGATCCGATTATTGCTTTTACAAAAAATGAACGAATCTTAATAAATAACAATAATTTTTTATCGTTATTTAAAAAATATATAATAATAAATTTAAAAAATAATAATAAAATAATAAATTTAAAAATATTCTGTAAGTCTGAATTTTTCCTCAGGTACTCCGCGGTATTTTGCGCCGCCGCATCGAGAGGACTTCAACTGCCGGCGCAATGCGAAGACCAGCCTGGTCTCCAGACAGGTATTTTTTCTTCAAAAATAATTGATCACTGATCGCAAAAGTCGTCCTTTTAATTGTCGAATGAAATTATTTAGTCTCCGTTTTGTAATTGGCCTCTCATAGTGAAATATATACCTGTTTATGTCCTTAGCATGTTTTATTTAGTTGCTATACATTCGATGATTTTACATCTATTGAAATACAAGATGAAAATTGCACATTTCGCTTCCTTATCAATACTTTACTTGTGATCTTACGTGTTAGAAGCTTACTTAACTTTTCTTATTTTAGTAGGGTACCTATCACCGTGTTTCTTAGTTTTCGCTTGCAATGCTAAACAATCGCTTTCGCAAAAGTCACAATTGGCTAAAAGTCCTAAAACTTTCGCATATTAGCAATTAATTTTTCTTTCATGACAATATTGAAACTTTGCGACTAGCGTTTATACTGGGAATGTTCTTCCACATTTTTTATGCTTCTAGACTTTAGTGGGCCATTTTTATCTATCACCAAAAATGTTTTCGTCTCTTCAACAAATCTTTCTACCTCTAAATGATAAGTCATTTCCAGCGCTGTGTGCACTAGCGTTTAGCAGAGGTGTTTCTTCACATACTATCCTTCTGGACAATTTTCGGGCGAATTTTCTACCGCTTTCCAATCGAATTTGGCATCGAACGTTCGTGATAATACATAATCTTGACGAAACTACTCAATTTTATTGAATTTTGCGCATTCACCAAGAGTTTAGAACTTTTTTCATGGCTCCAACAAGCTTTGATTTTTTCGATGATATTTCTTGAATTTTCGAACTTTATACACTGTCTTACACTGTTTCTACCCGAGTTCAATATTATTCCTACAACGCGCGACGTACTGTTTATTCTATCAAAATAAAAAATCGCATTTACGATGTGAATCTGCAGAAATTTTCAAACTTCAAAATTTCCATTGTCACATCAATAGGCAATTTCCTGTCTTTCTTCAAGAATCTTTTTTGTGCATCATATTTTCATTGCAGCATAGCAATAAATTCGCACTCTTTCTTATATGCATGTCGTACAAGTCGATTTGTTATCAGTTTATATCGCATGCAATGCCGTACGAATGCTATTTTAGCCTGACAAATTTATAAGTACAATATTTTCACATAAATTTCCTAAATTGTAATATTGTACGAGCAGTGAATGATACTATTAGAATTATTTTAAATAACCAGAATAAACTTTGGCTGATGATATCAATGCACCAAAATCTTATTGGATACATAGTAACTCACCTTATTTATACACGTATTCATTTATTCATACAATCCAAGGTGTGAATAAGAGAAAAAAGTTTCGCGTACTTATAACTTCGGGACTGTGGACTTCCCTTCTAAGGCTGTGGTTCTGAAAAGTGGAGATTTTAAAGTATCTTGTGTGTATTAAGCCTAAGGTTTAATGTTGATGACTTCGATGATTACTCGATGACTGGGCTACAATTACCAATTTCACGACAATTAATGTTTTGCAGACTCATAAACCATCGTAATCTTTCAAGACAATTTATCTTTTCTAAATCAGTTGAAATTTCGCTCGTGTTGAACAGCGGGTAAAGTTACTAGATTGTAGAGTTGCCCTAAAACAGCAAGGATTTCTTAACCTCATTAGAAGAAATATCTAAAATTTGTAAAATTTTAAAGGGGAAAAACATTCTCTGGTATTCAAGCAGCCTTGCATAAATGGTAAAATGTACATCCGTACTTTGACCGATGTAAAGAATTTCTTACCCGTTATGAATATGTAGGGAATCACTTCTTCCAAATAAGAGCATTTGTTTCTATTTAGTATGTTGATGTCGGAGCATCATTAGTCATCATGAAATCGCTATGAAAACCCTTCTTCATTATGGTATCCCAGTATTCTTTAAAAGTGTATTCAGTTCCCGACATGAAATTTGTACCCTTACATAATTCCAAATTGATGTGTGGCATTTGTTTGAGCACAAAAGAGGAAATCTCTGCAATTCCAGCTTTTTCTTAATTAGCACTCGGAAGACATCTTCAATATTTATCAGGCTTGAAAAGATCAGTTATCAAGAGGCTTCATCGGGACTCTTCGGCGAATATATTCCTTTACTATATTCGCACCAATACACCTTTTCACTTCATATGCCTATTGGATGTGTTCATCTGTTGTTTTTAATAAAAACATATTATTGCCAGCTGTCTGCATGAAGCTTGCTACTCGTCGGAAAGCTTGTTTCTCGTCTTCACCGCGTGTTTTTTTCGTATTCATACTAATGCTAATTCATTAACACTCTTGCGTGTTTCTATTTTGCGTGTGTGGCAATGTTCAAACGAATACCTGCTCATTTTTCCTTCGCAGTCAGAGGCAAATTTAAATTAAAGTTTAGATTTGCATTCATTTCGAACACGATTTTATAATTCAAAGATGCGACTTGTTATTAAAATTTACTAAATTGTCCTAATTACAATATTTACCACTAAAATCATGCAAGTGGACGACTGCAAGGCTTCCCCAGACATGATTTATCGTGAGCAGGTTTCTAACAATCGACGAAAATTTGCCGTTGCTCCACGAGATTCGGCTAAAGACCGAGATCTTGAACACCTTCTGGAGGAGCATGAGGGTGCGGACTTGCACCCTGAAAGAGACCTTAACGAAGTTCCATCCACTCACAATGTTCATAATTTGATGCCACCGGATTACGTACGAAGCCGAAAACTGGACGTAACGCCCGTGTCGTCACCGGAGGACGACTATGTAGATAAAGAAGGGTTGCCTAAGATTGTGATTCACCAGGTAATTTGGCTGTCTTGACGCTGTAGTCGTGAGTCACTTTTCAGAAGTAGTTCGCAAAGGATAAAATTAACGTGAATTGGAGAGACCGATCCCCGTCCCAGCAGGTTTAAGAAAATATTTACTTTTAGACGTGTTTTTAAAATATCTTTGACCTTTAACGAGTGATTTAACCCCCCAAAAAGTGACCTCAAATGAGTTACGAGTTTTGAAACTACATTATCCGAATTTACAACATTCATATCTTGTTTCACCCTACTAATTACTAATCCAGTAAAATTTTTCCAGGAACCATTTTCATCGATGTTATTGGCGTAATTTGTGTTCGCACTGCAGCACTTCACTCATCGTTCATATCATAGTTCCTCTCACATTAATTACTAAGTAAATTGCTGCCGTATCGTCGTGAATTGCTATTATCGTAGCTTGTCCACGCGGTCCAGTAGATTTGATGCCTCGTAGTGCAAAGCTTCGTCGCTCGTGATGGCGATACTCAAGCACGCATATATTCATTAAATACTGTATACATTTGTTCATTATCCGAATTGATTTTTGTAGATTAGAAGTAGTATGATTATTGCTTTTATATGCAATTGTATTTGTTTACTGCAATTGATTTTCGATGATTATTTTTAAATATTAAGTTTTTATTATTATATGTGTGATGCTAAGATAATATGAGGATAATATCAGTGAAATAAAAATATAAAAATCTACTTATATATATGACAATTTATGAGTACATTTCGTGGACTTACTTGCAAAAACCCAGGATCAATGACTCGAAATAACCTTTAGCTTGAACTACGAGTAAATCCATTTTCCACGATACTCAAGGGCTCGAAATAAGATTGACTTATTTTGCGTCAAATTATCTATTTAATTCATTACTAAGGCCTTAATACCCCTCCTTATAATGCCGAAAGAGACCATAATAATTTCAGTCATCACAAACTACTTAGGTTTGTTTAGTTAGACCTCAATTCTGAACGGAATATGAACAAGACTTACCCTCTGCTTTTGCGCGACACGAACAGCTGAACCTCGAGGAGCAGATGATCTGCGGTGCTCTTCAGACCCTCAGTGAGGAGGCCTGTGAAGACGCGCTGCAGCAGCAGGAGGAGCACGACCTACTGCCACACACGCTCTCATACACGCCCTCTGCAGGTACTCATTCTACCTTCGTTTCGATGTACCTTTATATCATTGTATCCTCATTTCGTTCTGTTCTCATTCATTCTACCCTCATTTCATTCTACTGTCATTTCATTTTACACTCATTTCATTCTACTTTCATTTCATTCGACCCTCATTTCATTCTACCTTCATTTCATTCTACACTCATTTCATTCTACCTTCATTTCATTCTACACTCATTTCATTCTACTTTCATTTCATTCTACCCTCATTTCATTCTACCTTCATTTCATTCTACCCTCATTTCATTCTACCATCATTTCATTCGACCCTCATTTCATTCTACCTTCATTTCATTCTACCCTCATTTCATTCGACCCTCATTGCATTCTACCCTGAAATGTACTCATTCTTTTCCATCTTTCATCCACTCTGAAAGAATAATAGACCGTTCATTATAACTTCAAGCATCCATACTCGTTATTAATATAACACAGGCTGAGATCAGACAATATTTATTTGGAAATTTAATATTTATTTGAAAAAAAAAACTTTTTGGCAATCATGCGGAAAGGAATATTGTCAATCCTTATCTTAATTAGAAGAAGATGTAAATTCGAGATCTGAAAATAATGAAGCACGTATTTTGACAATAGCCCCACGTATCGCATGCGTTAAATTACTCTGAACTTGCAGAGGACCTTCAAGAAAATGGCGAGGGGAAACGAGGAATCGGAGTGATCCTCGGAGGGGAAGAGGTAGACGTGGTGTTCTTGCAGTCTTCCCCGCTGCTGCCCCACAGGGTCATCACGCATGTTCCTGACAGCGATAACATCTCACTTGCATCTTCGAGCTTCTCGCCAACCAGGAACTTCAATGACATTTCTTTATCTAGGTAGGCTTTTTTTCTTTTTTTTTTTAATGTGCATCTTTTCTACTGCCAGAATTCAACTATTTACGTATATCACTAATTTTGAAATATTAAAAATTACTTTATTTTTTTACAGAACATCTTCAATTATCCGGTCGGAGGTTTCACCGAATGTCTCCCCAAAAATCAGTCTTCAAGAGATGCGGAAGAGCAGTTTGAACAGTCGCAGGAGCAGTGCTATGAGCCAGGGGGACAGATTCGATAACAGAAAAGACAGCAAAGGTAGCCGCAAGTTCAACGTAGAGAGCCCCGTCAACTTACACGAGCTGCCGTCTGAACGCAAGGTATCTAATGAGCGGAAAATCTCGAATGAGCGGAAAACTTCGAATGAGCGGAAAATCTCGAATGAGCGGAAAACTTCGAATGAGCGGAAAACTTCGAATGAGCGGAAAACTTCGAATGAGCGGAAAACTTCGAATGAACGGAAAACTTCGAATGAAAGAAAAACCTCAAATGAGAGAAAAGTTTCAAATGAATGGAAGATTTCTTCTGAACGCGTGAGAGCAAGTTTGGGCCCAGAAAGGAAAACCACTCTCGCGTCTCCCAAGAAAACCCCACCAGAAACAGTCTCAAATATTCCTGATGATGACAGCACTTCTCCTAGATCTCTTTATCCAACGGTGACTTTTGGTCAGGACACTATAATCGCCGAGAAATCAGAGGATGAGTCTTCTAGAGTTGATAATGAAGAAATAAACTCTGATAGTGAATCGGACGAGAAAAACGTTGGTGTAAGTACACCAATGTTCAAATGTCTCACAGTTTGCTCTAAGGTATTATCCTTTTTAATAATGACAGCGTCACCGATGCCATTCGAACCAACATGTCACCTTTTCGATCACATTGGCTTATTTGGGAGCGTACTTTCAATTGTCAAACTCTATTAATTCGTATGTTCAAAAAGTTTAGTATTTAATGCTTGCCTATGCTTCGGTGTTTTTATTAACCACATCCTGAGCTTAAATTGTTACGCTTACCTTACAGGTGTCGTCACCGCTGCTTCGAAGCCCCGCCGGGGGGCCGCGACCTCCGCGCCCCAAGTCCCTCAACTTGTCGAGTCCACTGGACGCCACAGGAAGCTCTCCTCCTGGAGCCGTTGAGCCTCATCCTCTTCTGAAGCAAATATCTTCCTTATCAAATCTGAGCTCCACTGAAACGATTTCCTCTCCAGTTCGCTCAACCCTAGCTCAACAGCTGTCCTCGACCTCCATGGAGACTGTCCGGAAGCTGAGAGATCAAATTAGGAAGGTCATAAATCCACACGAAGGCTCAAATAGTTCACTCAAATATAGGTTAAGTGACGGAGAAGGCGAAGCATCGCTGTTGGTCATGGCTTCGCCATCTTGGCACAGTGATAGCAACAACGCAGCCTTCTCGCCCGGCAGTGTCAAAGAGGACGCCAAACAAAATCCCGAAGATACCGCGTCGGATGAATGCGTATCGCCGACCAAACCTCACGCTAATGCCGAGAGGGAGACTCATGTATGATGGCAGCGTACGGAAACGAATGTATTTCCTGTGTATATAGCTTGAACATATATTATTGCGAGGGGTCTGTACATTAGAAGGTTTTCATAGTTATGATTGTGAGCAGAAATTGTATAAATATTAATGTCATAATAAGCGTCCTAATCAGAGAGGGATTCCTTCGGATTTTGTTGATTTTTATCTTGTCGATCAATTGTGGCTGAGCGCTTGTTTACCGCGTACCAAATTGTGCACATATTTGATGTAAACAGTTGTTTTTTCAAACTACGTGTGTAATTTCTTTCCAATGTGTGCGATGGACGCTGTCGATGCATTTCACTCTCGGTCAGATCGCAGACCATTCTTCCAAAATAGTGCCTGTAGCTCCCGTATCACAAATCCCGTATATATGTAAGGCGAAATATGTACATTGTGTTAACTTAGAGGTTCCTTAAACTTATTGTATACGAATGAAAAGGTTCTGAAGTGCACATTTTGACAACTAAACTCTAAATTTCTGGCCATAAAGCAGGTGGTTGACCGTCGATTTATAATATATACTCATTTGTTATTTACAATGTCTGTTTGAGCTTCTTTTCGGATAGTGCTTGTGATTCAAGAAAAAATTATTTGAACTGAAAACAAATGTCCACTGAATTAATTTTTTTAATATCAGAAAAATCTAAAAACTAGCAACTTACTATTATTATAAATAAGTAATAAATAGATCATATCTTCACAAACCTTCATATCATATCAAACCTTCATACTTTCCAGTTCCAATACATATTCCAGGATCATTGATGCCTTTCACAGCCCATTCCGCTTAGATATAAGACACGTCTACTTCGATTTCTTTATTCGTAAATAAAAAAATGACATTTTACTATAGCTCTGAAAATTCGATGCATATTTTATCGGTGAGCATAGTGAAATCATCGAAATGTCACTTGTTTACTAACTCGTTTATTTGTATATTCTGATAACGCGGCCGTCATTGTCACAACTAATAACTTTTGATTGGTGAATGAATGAAACTTTTGAAATTACCATTGAAACAAAAAAGAAATATTCTAATTTTTATTTGAAATGCAACATTCAGTGATAGGCGAATGATTTTAATGTTATAAAAAAAATTTTCAACTGAACTTCACTATCTTCACCATATCTTTAAATGAAATCTTTTCGTTGAAGATATGTTGAATTCACTGAGCTGGATTTTCTCCCTTCTTTTGTCTTCATAAATTCTCTTATAATTTCATTTTGATAATGTCTTCTGATACACTTTTCCTCTTTTTCTGTTTTTTTTTAACCGAGGCTGTTGGCAGTTTGCAACTTGTGAATGTTCACTAGAATATGAAGTTCGCTATGCCTGCTACATAATTCGAGCGAAATTTCCCTGCAATTTCTTTGAAAAAATTTAATTACAATTCAATTTCATAAAATTGAAATTCCAATAAATAATGTATATAAAGTAACGTACTGAAGTATATTGATGGTTGAAATGCTGCTGCTCCAAATTAGCCATCAACTCAATTTATTACATTTTTATTGACAGCTGTTAAGTAATTAGATCTTGTAATAGAATGATCGATGTTCCCGATTTTTAAGTTGCAACGATCCTTTTGTCTTTGTAGCATTTGATGTTTTTACTTTTGTTAGCGGACTCTATTTATTATTTTTTTTGCATTTTATGGAGACAGACTTTTTTAAACTCGTCCTTGCAGCAAACAAATCCGTAGGAAATCAAACTTGTTTCATCGTGCTTTTACGGTCAATATTCTGTGAATTGTGCTGTTTTTCTCAGGATTAATTTGAGTTAAACTTTCCAATAAATTGTAAGCACAACGGAGGTGAATATTTCCTCCATCTTCTTAGAAATGGACCTGCTGTCTATAATATTGTAGACTCGCCAAATGCCTGTATATGAAGTGTTATATATTGCACGCCTTAGACAGCAATAATAATATGCGCGTAAGAGATGTTGAACCGCCTTAAGGAGTTGTTAAAACGTCTCTGTATTATAGCTACTGTTGGAACCAAGCATGTGTCAGCATTGTAATGATGTACGGGTTAGTGAATAGAAATCACAGCCTTATTAGCTCAGCTCCACCAGTGTCAAGTTTTAGTGCTTAGATTCATCGATTGCTAGTTAGGTGTATATTTGTGCCCTGTTATACTATCAGCTTCAGAATGGTGTTTGTGATCGGAAAATGTTGAGAATTTTATATTTATCGTTAAATTTAAGTAAAGAATATTTAAATCCCAGGCGTACAGAAGCATTAATAGATTAATATAATTTATGCTTTCTTGCCTCTTATAATTTAATAAATGCTTATTGTTATGTATTGATGAAATTGGACATTCCCTAATATTTATCTCTTTAACACTCTATTCAGCTTCGTCCTATAAAAAATTAATTTTTATTATTTAACATGACTTTTTTCTGTGAAATGCAAAGAAATTGAAACTAGCATTCTTGATAGACACGCAGTTATTTTTATTGTGCAAACCTACAATAATGCATTATCAACGAGTCCTCCATCTCATGAATCAGTTTATCCGATATAATACTCAGCAATACTCATCACTGTTATTGAGTTCATCTGTATTTTCACTCCAACATGACGAGAGAACAAACATTGCTGTGATAAATTGTGCGTCATGCTTACGGTGTGCATGTTACTCTAGCAGTCTAGCCCTAGCGTATACTGTCTGCACGTGTGTGTTCGTGATGTGAGCGTGTCCGCGACGCGCGCAGGATGTGGCAAGAAGCACCAAAAGGTGGGAAGCCTAATACGCTTTTCGAGGCCATTTATCTATTTAAAATTTCCTACTGCCAAATGAATCAGTCTGGTTACTGTCTGATTTTGAATGGGATGTTACATATTTATGGATGTTACACAGATATGGATGTTACGCAGATATGTATGTTACACAGATATGGATGTTACACAGATATGGATGTTACACAGATATGGATGTTACACAGATATGGATGTTACACAGATATGGATGTTACGCAGATATGGATGTTACACAGATATGGATGTTACACAGATATGGATGTTACACCGCTTTGTTCATCATTAAAAACGCGAATGGTCAGTATTCGCAGTTGTGCAACCAACATCTGTTTAATGATTGAAGTTTGTATAATTTTTCAACGTTAAAGCTAGATATACGGATGCTTGCAATTTATTACTTAGTTTTATGCAACTCGATCACTGAAATTTATTGCAACTTTGTTTTCATACACATTTTTTCAACATCAACCATTCATGTTACTAGCCCGCACTCACAGAAATGAGAGAGGCCTTGTCCAAATTTCGATACACTTTTCACCCGTGTGTGGGCCATCCTGATTCAGTTTGGCCCGTATCAGTGCTACGTCTGCTCGTGCTGTGGATATTATAGAGGATCAATATTTGGACGATATGACCTATGAATTTTTCTGAGTACGATGACAATGGTTCCAAAGTGGGGGCTGAATTACTCAATGCAGTAAGGTGGGAATCTTAAAATTTTCTGAGAGTAACAAAGAAGTGATCAAAAAGTGAATTGGTGACAAGGGTACATTAGTAATATGAGTTAGATACTTGTTGTTTTGTTGTTTGATGTGACCTTGGGAGGCAAGAGGAGAATGTTTGAGAACTCCTGGTCTAAAGCAGCTAGTTACGAACGTATATGTCAGAGTGTGTGATTAAAAGGCCCAAAAAGCATAATGTACAAGCCGAATCATTGCAGTGAGATCGAACCTTCTTCCGATTTGACGTTGAAATCATTAAACTGTCATTATCGAATTTCTTACGATGGTCCGTCTTTTGCCCAAATTAAGCTAAATTGTCTGTCCAACGGTTCACAAACAATGCAGTACGTACCTTCATAGTACTTTAAATGTATGGAAGTTCAGAGCGACTTCGCAAAGTTGCGAGAAATCCACATACGATGTCAGAACGTTGCGTCATTCCGAGGCAAGACGTCTAGGGCCGTACTATCAAAACTCGCTTAATTACACGTAGCGGCCTAAGTACACGTAGCGGCCGATTTCTCGTCTGTGATTGGTAGGCTTAGCTTCAAAAATCGTCGATGATGAACTGATTGAGTTCTTAGCTCGTAACTATTTCGAAAGTATAGCGCCAGGAGGGTGATCCAGCGCTTCAGAGATTCTGTGACTCTGAAGTTCAGGCCTAGATGTTCGATGACGCCTTAACTGTGTATGTGTGTTTTTAAATATAAATAATGAGCTAAATTGCATCATTTATGGGCCTATCCTTTACGTCAGCCAAGTGTCCATAAAAATTTCTTTGTCCATGGGTCTAAATAATTGACGATTGACTGCAAATAACTTTGTGCTGAAGACAACACGAAAAAATGAATGTAGATTCATTTAGACTACATATACTTCTAATTTTTTCACAATTGAATTTGAAATCAAATGGAGTCTGGTTTAATTTCTCCAAGTAATTATTGCTCATTAGAACACATATATTCTGAACTACTCTGAAAAAAAAATTTTTCAAGTCTCCATTGACAAGTAAATTTAGTCCAAAATTTCATCAAGAACAGGTGCATTTCCGTTGAAGGTATGTACATGTATTCCAGCTACCAAATTTCAGAGTGCATCCTAATCAAACACTACTTTTATAATTCTCTGGATAATTAAGAATATTTGTCGCAAGGAGATAACTGAATAAATATGCATAACTGTTTTAGCAAAACACTGAGCAACAAAGAACGTCACTCATCCCCCTTCCGCTTCCGGCTAATTTTGATCGTCAGGGTCGATGTGAATAATTAATTAAATCTAACCAAGAATAAGCTATGTATTCATTGTTAATTGTAATGTGAGTTTATCGACGTTCTTATTCCCCATTTAAACAGTATCGGCCTTTTTATCGATAGTAAAGTAAGCTGGAATCGGGTTCGTTCTGGTAAACTATCATGGATAATAACTGGTATCTCTATAATAAAGTTAATATGTAAACAAAATCATTTTGGACGATCAATTTTTACGCTTCCTATGAAATGTTCGTTGTTATCGCCACATTTCTATATGTGCTCTGTGGATTCCTACATACTGATGAACTGTACAAATCGGCCATAGTTAATTCGGACGATGCTTCCCTTCAGATAAAAATTATACACCCTGACTTATCTGGAGTTGGATATAAAGCATGAAAATGTTAGACCGACGCGTGATAAACGTCTTGAAGATATATTGATAAGTGTGCAGTTATAGTCTCCTAAACATTGAGTAACCTTGAGTAGATTGTGATAGCAACTTTGAACCCATATTATTAGCTTTACTTAAACTCGATTACTTCTTGCTGTGGTCTTGATCCTTTAAAGGAGATATTTTCCGAGTGCTAGGCAGAATAAATCGCAATATTACTTATTATTATTATAATAATTATTATATATTTTTTTTTTCAATTTTATTATTATACAATATCATAATTTTTATATTATCTGACCGTAAATTTATAATTGAACGTCAGCAAAAGGCCTAATATGATTATCAGTGAAATTAACAAGTTTGAAATTTGGTAAAAGTGATCAATAGGAATAAGCACACAACTGGTGAACTTGCCTTTTCTTTCGAAATAATCCATGAGGTTCGCAAATTTAAATTAATTTCTGTAAAAATAAC